TCAGCGAATCCATGCAACACTAGAAGTCACATTAACAATAAGTGTTATAAGAACATTATTTAAAAGAATAACTTCAGAGGCTTATTATACTCGCATCTAATTGAATTTCATCTTAAAATATACTATATGGCTCTCACTGAAATCTATTTCCAAATATTTGCTTTCTTACCTCTCTGAGTTAAAAACGTTGCCAACCCCTGCCCTAAGCCGAACGCTTATCTTAATGATTAGGCGTGGCGGTTAATGAGCGAAAGTAAAGAGGGACTACATTATGCTCCCCCGAATGACGTGAGTGAAGACTAGGTGGCACCACATACCCGGTCTTTACCGTTGAGTGAAAGTTTTCGGTAAATGAACATCTCTCCTGGCAGTCCAGTCCAGCTACCAATGAAAATAGTCATTTAGTCCCGGCAATGTCTTGCTGATCACGTGACAAGAAAATAGTGACTTCCCTGCTTTAAATCAATAAAGTGTCAATGAATGGGTGACAGTCGCTGTCTGTATGTGCTCGCCATATTACAGTAGCATACACCGAAACCCGCGTAACATTTTCAAGTATACTTTCCTGAAACAAAAGTGCTCTCTGTTTTCAGACACGACGTTGAGAAGCATTTCAATTTTCTACAAAACTCGCATGAGATTGCATTTTCCGGACATTCTTACTGAACTACTTAACCGAATTAATGCAAGCAAGAAGCACTGGGTGAGAAAAGTGCACACGAATTATAGCAGGACCTTTTAAAAATGCATGGTCTTTATTTATGACTTCCAGTCCGTACACTTTACTGCATTAGTCTGTCTGTCAACTTTGTACCTCAGCAAACGACTATTTTCTCCGAACTTACCTATAGAATCTCCTATGAAGAACTCGTCAGCAGCCTGCTTAACCTGCGTCTTCTGATGCAGCTGATCGGTGAACTGTCCTTAACTGACGTGTCCGTCATTCCCGAGTCTGTCCATCGCTTGGTTGCCGTCTATCCAGACGTTGTGTTGAACAACTCGGAGGGTCAGGACAACGGTCTGGAAGTGCCGATTGCTGACTGCCATTTACAATCCGGTACAGTCTTTCGACTCAATCCGTTTTGCATTTGTAGTGTTGCCCTTAAATTTGGGTTCTGTATAGCCTGGACGTCATCCGTCAACTCTTTAATGTTGTTCATTTACAATCTACTCATCTCTGCTGTTGATTGCCTTAGAATTTATTTCGAAAATTATAGCGAGGCCTAGAGGGGTGATAATATATGTGCACGGTAGATGAGGAGGAGGAGGAGGACAAACTGATGCTGATTACAATTCAAATGCTATTGTCAACTCCCGTTGATACTATTCAGATAAATTATTTGAAGCAATCTTATCATAAGTAACTTTCGAAGAAAATACCCATCACATTCGCGGCGAACTGTTTTGTGTAGTGAGGTATTTTCTGTCGTTTTCGCTTGCTAAACTGTTCGCTAGCTCTTTTTCCAGGTCTCGTACAGTGCGCTTCGCTGGAAACTCGTCTCCGCCTCATGAATTGTCTCTGCGCCACTTACTCGGCCTGTTTTGACTTTGATCAGTGCTCTGAGTTGAAGATCGTCTTTCAGCGCTTGTTAAACCTACCGTCCGCTGCCAACCTCTATCAGCAGGTAACTCTCTTGTAGATCTGATATTTTGCTTCGACAGCCCTGACATTGCGAATTTCCCAAATGACCTAATTAGGCAACTAGCTATGACGAGCTTATCTCTGTTAACAGCCTTTGTTCTCTGTGTTTACGTCCTAGTTTGTTTTTATATGTATGCCCTTTGCTTCGATACTGCTGTTTCGTTGACTAACATATACTGGATTTTCTTCCTCTTCCCCGTAGACGAATCTCGCATGCGCTCTACTTCAGTTAATTCTCCTGCAGTTCATCGAGAGCGGAGTCTCCAGTGAAACCTGTACCAATTTGATGAGCTCAGTCCGGGCTGCCTACACCGCCTTTGATGCCAATGTCAACAAGTTGCGTGCCAGTCATTTTCGATGCCCGCCATTCGTTGCCAGCGCCGGAACTTCTGCCTCCCCCGTGGTCTGGCTGAGGCAGTTTATGTGTGTCCTGCCCATCGTCGACGGCGAGCGCGCCCTCTGCAGCCTCCTCGCCGGCCTCGTAACATATGCAGCCCAGTTCTACCTCTTTCTCCTCCATTCCGAGCCCAGAAACGGTGGTTCGGTGAGTCAAGTTTGCGCTGATGCAGCTCATAAACATTGGAAGAAAACTTTTGCTAAGCTCGCAGTTGGGATGTAGTATTTTTAGCTATCCAGCAATGCTAATATCAGTATACAGCATAACCTCAGGCGCTCGTTCATACACACTAACAGGCTGCCTTTTTATGGAAAGCCGTCC